CTGTTTTCTCTTGGCCCTGTACTTTTCCCAACTCTCCTCAGACGCCTCACTCAGGTACTGCTTGAAGACTTCTCTACGTTCCCCTATTTCTTCTTTCAGCTCGTCATCCCACCACTTAACCGATACCCCACATCGTACCACCTTCTTTCCCGCTACCGGGGATTGCCCTTTTTCCAAGCCAGAATTGTGTGCAAATCTGCTGCTGCTGCTGCTGCTGCTGCTGCTGCTGCTGCTGCTGTGTCCTCCGAGAGAAACAGACAAAAAACAAAAAAAGAGGTTATGTGATGACCCGTGGTACGCATGCAGAAACATGCCTATTAGGAGGAGAGACGGCGGGCATCAGGCGGGAGTCGCGAGGAGCGGCCGCTTTGACTGCCGCGCAGCAGTGGTGCCGGCCCGCGCTACAAATAAACATCGTCACAAGAAATCGAGGCTTAGGTTTTGGGGTGAAAGAAAGGAAATATGGACAAGAAATTGGGCTCAATCGCCGGCGTTACAATTATAGTACAGAGCCTGAGCTCAATCGCTGAGACCTGAGCCTTTGTGAAAATAGACGATTCTTACGAGCGGGCCGGCACTGTCCTGGAAATGATGCAGCGGTGTGGGAGCATGCCGCTGACCGAATGACTACAGGTGGAGAGTGGAGAGACTGATCGTATAGCACGTGGGAGTCCTACAGAACCAACTGCTTGTAAACATTGCAAAATTGTAAATGGCGGAGCCCTCAACCATTTCTCCCTCGGGGGATGCCGTTTGAACGAACCGCGGGTGCTGCCGGTGATGATGGGATAGTTGATCAACAAGGAACTAGCAATCCTTCGGTTTGCTTAGAATCGATGAACCAGCAACCGAGTGCCACCTTGAAAATCCTGCCTATGTGCCTTTGCCACCGTCGTCCTCCGAATTTGTTCCCTTTGAGCAGCCGGCAAGCGGAGAAACTGCGAACTAACCCACGCTGCTCATGTTGTTGCTGCACCTATTTACTGGTTTCCATGTTGCGGCGTTCTTTCTGCTTGCCTGCATGTAGGACACCGATTTCCGCTGCCTGTGTCGGCATTGCCTACAACATATACTTCAGAGGAACGGTTTGTCGAGTGGGAACAGTGGGTTGAACCATGTGCTCCGACATCGCATCGTGGCTTTCAGCGCGTATCGACAACATGAGTCATCGCACAGCATATGAAAATGAATCTGGCAAGAACCTACCGGCATCATGCTACTGATTTACGTAATGAATCACACATTCAGGGAGTTTGGACGCATGAAGAGCTGCCCATGTTGCGGAAACTTTCGGAAGGCTTCCCGGGTAACATGTATGCCGCAGTTTTTCCGCGTACTCTGCGTCCGAGTGCCACGCGTCAAAGCTTGGGCATGAGAGAAGAGCAAAGCATGAGGTAAGAGATCGTGTGGAGTGGGATCCACACACAGGCTGGGGATTGTAGGATCTACTTTCCCAATTTTGCTGGTGACGTGGAATGACAACTTTCAAATTGAAAATTCACCTGGCACAACGCAATGCATCACAGAGACAGCCGAGCAAGCCGGAACGACCAAAGCAGCTTTCCAGTATCTCCCCTCACCTAGCAGCAGGTAGAGCGTTGCTGTTGCCGTGACTGCTGCTGCCATCTGGATGTTGCGTTCAAAATGTCGCATCGTCACTGCAGCAGCCGATGCAGAAATCTGACAGTCCCGAAGACTTCCTCTCTGCAGCGCCAATCGCACGAGTAATGAAGAGAGAGGAGAGACGAGATGCCGGCACAGACCACCAACCTGTAACCAAAGCCTCTTGGGAGAGGAGTACAATACACACTCTTCGTCTTCGCTGACCTCTCAGGCACGAACGACACACACATCACTCCAATGCCGTGGCCCCGATATCTCTTTCTTGGGGCGCCGCGAAATCAATCTTGGAGTACAACACCAATCCCCCCGCCTTCTGCCCTCTGTCAAGCTGCCTGTGGGTGAGTGGAGCGTCCAAATCCACCCAACTCGCCACCGTCTTCCCTCCGACCCGAATTCACTGCTCTACGTACGTGTTCCACCTCTTTGTCTCTAAGATGGCCCACATTCTGCAAGCTGTAGAAGGTGAGCTTATGCAGAAATATTGGACGAACAGGTGAATGCACACATGATGTGGGGCGGCCTTCTTTCCTGCCCATTGAAGTTTGCTGCGAAGTACAGCAGCGCCCACCCACCCAGACAAGAGTCACGCTTGTCCACCAATGGCACAAAGGTGTAGCTTGGGAGACAGCTTGCTGAAAACAGAATGCCTGCCACTCGTCGGTGGTCTCATTGCCAGCTTGTCGCCCGAAAATACAAAAAATGCATGATACGCCACCTGTTCGATCATGCAGCCCGCCGACATTCAGATGTTACACTAACCTCTTACGTGGCCGGCAACGACACATCTATATTTCTCGCGCGCGTTCTTCGGCTGCCCCGTTAGCAGCACCATCTCTCCTCCACGCATATATTTTTTTGTCATCCTTGTAGAGCGGGCTCCTATCTTGACGAGTTCGTTCTTAGGGGGGCGGGGGGGGGCGAGCAGCTGCGCGTCACATTGCAGTGAACTATATACACAAGAATATGCTCCCAAATGTAGGTCTCGTACCAAACCGGGACGCGCAATTCAAAATTTGAATTTTCGTTTCCGTATCCTTGGCTGTAGATATCTGTGGGTCTCCCTCTACACACCGATCTTGAAAAGCGCAAACGCTGGCACTCGCGAGCTCGAGGCCTCGCTGCGACCACCTATCATCCTCGGCACGCACGACCGCACTCATCATGCAGCTGGCGGTGCAGCACCCGCGGAGCACACCCGTCACCCATCCGTTTGGCCCACGTCGTTCACCAACTTCTGCTGTAAATCCTTGGCTCCACTCCCATACATGGGGGTCCAACAACAAATAATTAAATTGTTTCGCGCGAAGCGCGAAAGAACGGGCGGAGCAAGAGACGCAGGCGTATATAGATGCGGATGGGGAGCCTCACAGACAGGCCAACACTGCTATTGCACACGCTCGCACCTCACCCAACACCACCAGTCAGCCGTGTACGCAGGACTGCTGCTGTTTAGCAGAGCTGGGAAGAGTGAAAGTGTTGTGTGGTGTGGACGAAGCTCTCATGATCATCATCAGCTGCTGCTGCTGCTGCTGTCGCTGTGTGGATGTGCACCACTCTTACGCTCGTAGCAGCGGCAACGGGCTCTAGAAATCGCCCCAGACGCCCTCCATTATTATTATTTTTTTCTCCCATCATTGGACTCTGTCGTCTGCCCCTCTGGCCCCTATCCTCCACTTCTACTAGCTAGACGACCCAACCGGGGTCACATAGGAGGGGGGGGCTGGACCCCTCCTGCGGTTCCTGCCTGAGGTATTTTTATCGCGAGAAGGGTACAGCAATCCCTTCCCTCGCGACTTACGAAGTCAATTATGGTTTACTAACAACGAGCTTTGCAACGCGTTGCTTTCATCGATGTGTGTGTGTATTTGGTTGCCTTGGCCGGCAGCGTGTGTACATGTCATTGTTTCTCTGTTTTCGGGCGGGTCTGCTGTGGATCAAGAGCAGATCGGCCTGCAGACAGACCGGCGAAGATAGCCAGCCGCAGATTGATTGACTTGTGTGCACTTGCTTCACTCTCTTATACGCTGCTAGCAGCAGGCAACGGGCTTCAAAAATCGCTCTCGATGCATCGCATGATATGCTCCTTTGGCCACCTTGGCCTTGCAGCAGTTTGTACGTCTCATTAGTTTAGGGTTGTTAGGGATGCACCACTGCTATGTAGCAAGCTCAAAAGATCGGCCTGCAGCAGCAGCAGCAGCAGCAGCAGGAGCAGATCTGACTTGTGTCGCCTCCCTCGCTTGTGGTGCTGCCGACAGCAGCCAACCGGCTCTGACAGCCGAACCAGACCTCTTAGTATGTGTGCCTTTGGCTTCCCTTGGTTGACAAGCAGTCTCGTTTGCTGTTGTGCTGGTTGACTGGTGTATTGTTTACGTGTGTCATGTGCTGCTGCTGCTGTGCAACGTCTTTCGGGGGATTCCCGCTCGACGGCGTAGCCATCGCCCAATCATCTTTCTCTGTCCTACATATTGTCCTACATAGTCGACATTTGATTGGTGGCAGGACGGCATCTACCCGGCTCTACCCCTCTGAAACATTGATGATTTTTTTCTGTTCATCCGGTCCAACATAATTTTTGCCCCACGTATGGCTGCTGTGCCAAATCCTTGGCAGTGCCTGCTGGACCTGTTTTGTTGTTGTTGTTTTCTTCACATTAAACTCGTGTCAGTTGCTAATCCCAAAATCTATAATAGCAAAGACTCGGTCCGTGGGACCTGTAGACAAGATCGATAGAAAACGCTACCTTGGACTTGGAAAACCTTTTGAAGGGAACGACACAGCCACGTACCAAAAGACGGCCTCGGAGGGGGTGGCTTGAATTGAAGTCCTCTTCTTTCTTGTATCAGCAAATAGTCGACGACACGGGCGTCCGTTAACAAGAAAAGTTCAACTGCAGTTATGTGTAGCAAACGTAAGACAACCAGCAGCGTATGTGTGTTGTCTGCACCTTGCCTGGAGACGTCAACTATACACAATAGGCCTCAAGACAACAGGGTAGAGCAAAAAAGTTGGCCGGGCGCTCGGTTTTTAGCTCAATCTGATGAAAAGGGTGGGTGGGGTGGTTACCTGTCTTGGCCTGTGGGCCGCAGCGGCAGAGACGACTCGCCGAATCGAGGGGGGTCAGCCGCTGCGTCGATCGTCTCGCCGATAACACAACGACCGGCGAGAGCTGCTGCTGCCGTACGTCTCGGCTTCTGCTTTTGCTTCGCTCTAGAACAAGCACACGTTGAAACGAGACGCGCGCCCCGGTACTCGCAAACGAGCCGGCTTCCCTCCCTGGCCTAGGGACTAGCGAGCCACCACACACGTGCAGGTGCTACCGGAGTCGGAAATATTGAACGACACAACGAGTGATAGGATTTTCACTGCAAGCCAGAGCTTCGTGCGAGCAAAGAGCTGCTGCGCACGTGCAGGTGCTACCGGAGTCGCCGCCGGAACGACGACTGATAAGGTTTTCACAGCAAGCCGCCCCGAAAAACAGCTTCGTGCGAGCCAAGAACTGAGCACGTGCAAGTGCTACCGAGCGTCGTCGGACGGAACGATACTTCAGTGACTGATAGGATTTTCACCGCAAGCCAAAAACAAGGCTTCGTGCATGCTGCAGCATATCAATAGCGGTGTCACGGGCTCATCTCTTTTCCCAGGTAGCAACAAGATTTCTTGCCGANTGCGCACGTGCAGGTGCTACCGGAGTCGCCGCCGGAACGACGACTGATAAGGTTTTCACAGCAAGCCGCCCCGAAAAACAGCTTCGTGCGAGCCAAGAACTGAGCACGTGCAAGTGCTACCGAGCGTCGTCGGACGGAACGATACTTCAGTGACTGATAGGATTTTCACCGCAAGCCAAAAACAAGGCTTCGTGCATGCTGCAGCATATCAATAGCGGTGTCACGGGCTCATCTCTTTTCCCAGGTAGCAACAAGATTTCTTGCCGACTGCACCCTGCCTTGTTTTCCACGCGCTTTCCCCAAAGAAAGGCAGGCAAGGCAGGCAAGGCAGGCAGGAAGAACTTGACTATCTATCGTAACTGTCTGTGCGTGCGACCGAGTCGTCTCTGACTTTGAAATGACACTGCTGTACATTACCTGCTCGCTTGTCACGTCAAGGGTTACACGCACGCGAGTCGTCAGATGAAACCTGTCCTCGAGGTTATTCAAAATCGACTCAGTTGTGTCAGCCTCTGCGCGTAACGTGTGCATGATACACGATCCGCACCCTTTCTTTCCCCACGATTCCAACCAACACGCTCGCTGCAACTAACTCTACATTCTCGCTGAACAACTCTTGTATGTCTTCCAATCGACGCAACGCGGCTTTATTTTTTTCTTTCTATTTTCCGAAGGGGCGGCCGTGGACACCGTTAAGGTGACCCGCGCTCTCCTCTCCGTCTCCGACAAGGATGGCCTGGTGGAGCTGGCGACCTCCCTCGCCTCCCACGGTGTCGAACTCCTCTCCACGGGGGGTACCGCTAAGGCCATGCGCGCCGCAGGCCTTACGGTCACAGACGTGGGTTCTCTTCTGTTTTTTGTTCCCACCCTTTTGTTGCTTGTACAGAGCAGGTGGTTGTGACGTTTGGTGGTGAAGAAGATGCATTTTTTTTTGTGTGTACAGCAGTCAGGGCTGTTGTTGTTGTTAATGCTTTTGTCGCGCGTTTCTGCGGTTGCAACCATGTGGCGTTTTCGGTGTTTCCACGAGGACCATTTACATTTGCTTCTTGTCATTCTGATCGGGCGTCGGTACCCCGAGAATGGTTGACATGCCTACACATCAATACAAATGTTCATGGATCAGACAGTTTCGGATTTTTTTTCTCTTTTTATCTTCGACAGCACCGTTCCCGGGACCAGTCCCATTTGCCCGAAAGTTTTACTTTTAGCGATGCCAAAATGTCACCATCCGGAATCTGATCAGCATGACCCGCGACCAAGTCACCAAAATCTCCCAAATCTCCCAAATAGATGCTAGCATCGGGTGAACGCTCGACGATGCATGCTCCACAGCCCTCGAGGTACCTTGCCACCAACCGACATGGGTCTGTGTGAAGTGTTGTGAGCGTCTCCTGAGAGAGACGCGACGTTTTTGAGCTGGAATGCAGATGCACCCAGACAGAGTGTGCAAGGCGACACACCTCACACGCACGCGCGTCGCCCTTTCGCAACGCTCGACACATGCCGTCAATCCTTCAGCAAGAGCATGTGTAGGCAGCAAGATGCCCTGGGGGTGGTTGTGGACCATGCTGCACCACATCGTGTCGGGCGTTGGGCGATCGATGCAGAGTGTAGTTTCACTGCTGCTTCTGTGCTGGTGTGTGTGAAAAAAGTAGAGCCAGCCCTTTAACTTCAACCGGCTCTTTATGCCAAAAAATGAAAGTGATCTGTCCGTAACGTAAATCCCAAGCAGTGCATTCGCTGATATTTCATGGCGGAACGTATTGAGAACTCTGACTACTATGCGTCAGAAGAAATTCACGAAAAAATATGTACTTCGTACGTCTTTAACAGGTGTCGGAGTACACGGGTTTCCCGGAGATGATGGACGGCCGCGTCAAGACACTGCACCCCAGCGTGCACGGCGGCATCATGCACGTGAGGGGCAACGAGGAGCACGAGGAAGCGATGAAATCCCAGGGGATGAAGGTAAGCTTGAACTGACCGGTAGTCGGGTCGCGTGGAGGGGTGGCAAGAAACGGGTTGGTGTCGCTCTTTTTCGTTGTGCTACGGTGGTAAGTCGTCTCCATCCATATTGTGGGGCGCGCGAGTGTGAGTAGGTTCGAAAGACTTGTAGCCATGTACTCCAAGCTTTCGGCTTAGAACATTACCCGTCTGTGGTTTCTCACTCAGAAGAATCGGATTTGGAATGGAAAAAAGGACCCTTTGTTGGAACATAACCCCCTATTAATTATTGCTTCTGCTGTGAGAAGCCTTCGCCAAAGTGTACGGCCATCTTGGCGCGATTTCCATGTACTGGTATGCATAGCCCTCTTCACGCATTTCTCGTTGTTTTGTGGCGCGCGCATGGGAACGGGGTGGTTGGGTGGGGGCGGTGCATGAGGGGACTTGGAGCTTCCTCGCTCTTGTCCTGGAGGACATGGGCCGCCCCACTTCTTTGCTGCAGGCTCCGAAACCGAAGCCTGCCTTGTTGTCTCACGGATACTGTCTCCCACACTCCATCTGTGGCCAGCGCTCTTTAGCTTGTTGTTCGATCTCTTGTTTGTTGTGTGTTGTATATGTGACAACTCGAAAACATTGTTCTTGGGCGTCGTTTTTAACTCGAAAACGCCTCGGTCGTTGCCCTGCATTGCGCGAAGGCTATCGACCTGGTGGTGCTCAACCTGTACCCGTTTGAGGCTACGGTAGCCAAGGGCAGCGGCTTCGACACGTGCATCGAGAACATCGACATCGGGGGACCGTCCATGCTGCGTAGGTGAGATTTCAGGGAGGGGTGGGGTCGCGCGCTGATGTCGTTTGTTGTTGAGACTAGCGATGTACTACGAGTTTTTTATTCCGCCTGTCCGGCTTCACCCTAGTATACCCTACCGTTAACGCGACGACGGGGACCAACGCTTCGAATCCACGTCACCCTACCCCCCAAACACCTCCCGTACTGGCAATTGACACATAGCACTCGAGCTTGTGGCTTTTGTGCCCTTGGGACTACGAACGGTGGTCAGGTTCATGACGATCAAGGGCCCTCTGTCTCGGGTGTGCAATAATAAAGTGCCCCCCCCCCCCCCCCCCCTACTTGCTCCAAACCTTCTCGTCAAACCGTACAGCCCCCAAGCCACTCTATGCCCCCCGATATTTTTTTTCTTGATCTGCCCTCTTGTATCTAACTGCCGTTTCTTTTTTTTCTGGCGTCTGCTCTTGTCGCCCCCCCCCCGTTTTGCATTCCTTTTCTCGCGGTGTGCTTTGGTAGCTCCGCCAAGAACCACAAGTACGTGACCATCTGCACCAGCCCGGAGCAGTACCCCGCGGTCATGGCGGAGATGAAAGCGAACGTGAGTGGTTTGGTTCGGTGGTGATGGTGATGACGGCGACACGAGAAGGAGGGCCGGGTGTAGACCGACAAGGAGAGGGAGAAAGAGGCAACGCCAGAGATCGATCACCTTTATTCGCAGCAGCAGCAGCAGCAGCATACACGCGGAAGTGTGGGAATGTCTGGTGTGTTGTGGATATTCGTAGGGCGGGAGGCGATGAACGGGGCGGCATGTACAGTAGCTGTCGAACCCGTCTCTCGTTTCGTTCCCCAAGACTCTCTTGCCTACGGCGGTTGCGCGCCGCCATTCGATACTGCGTACATGTTTGGCGTATCACGAAATGGCGATGCCCCCCCCCCCCCCCCCCCCCCCCCCCCCCCCCCCCCCCCCCCCCCCCCCNCAGCGATGTTGTGAAACAAGCCGATCACTTCGTGAGCTCGGCAACCAGGCTATTTTTTTTGCCTCCCTTTTTTTTTTGGCGGTAACCATGACTGGTGGTCGAGTAAATTATGTTGTGCGGGGTCGAGAACCCTCACTCCACGCGAAAGGGGAAAGTCGCACCACGTTGTGTTGAAATGGTCAAGCACTCTCGAGGCAGCTACACAGTGCTCATAACTGTCTATGAAAGTGAAAGCACCAAAAAATACATAGTCAAACGCAGCTGTCATCCGTACGCAAGGAAGTAAGCACAAGATGCCGAACACCCTTAGGATGCAGCGCACCCTTCATGTGACTCGCCGAATACCTCACGGTGCTTCGCGCTTTGTGATGTGAGAGCCCGGTCCGGTGAGAACCGGCTTTGTAGGGATGCGAGGTCAATGGTCTAACGACTACGACATACATGACTATGAGTACCCCCCCCCTTCCCCCTCCTAACCCCTCTCGAAAACGCCATCATACGGATGCGTCTCCTCTTCCCGCCTCCTTTCCGTTCTCTTTCTCCTCCCCCCTCCCGTCTCGAAAACGCCGCTATCCAGGACGAGTGCACCACGTCCCCCCCCCCCCCCCCCCCCNCCCCCCTCTTCACGGCGCAGGATGCAACGCACTCTCCATGCGCGCGCCGAATACCTCACGGCGCTTCGCGCTCGGTGATGTGCTAGCCTGGTCCGGTGAAAACCCGGCGTGCGCCGTCCCGTCTTTGTATGGATGCGAGGTCAATGGCCTAACGACTACGGCATGCACGACTATGAGTATGAGTACACCCCCCTCCCCCCCCNCCCGTCCCCCTCTCCTGAAAACGCCACCGCCATCCAGGACGGTTGCACCCCCCTCGGCACCCGGCGGACGTTCGCGGCGGCGGCGTACGCGCTGTCCGCGGCGTACGACAGCGCCATCAGCTCCTGGTTCTGCGGGCAGCTGGGCTCGGCGGCCCCTGTAACGTCGCGGGTGTACCACCGAGAGATGGGCCTCAAGTACGGGTGCAACCCTCAGCAGAAGGTGAGCGAGACGGGCAGGCTATACGGATGGGATGGGTGGTCGTTTTGGTCGTTGTGCATGGAGTGGTGCATCGTCTCCGGGACAACCTCTCTCGATCGATATTACAAATAAGTGAGCGGCTTGATCCCACGCTTTTTTTTGTTTCGGCTCATGTCAGATGAACATTTTTTTCATATATCTAGGGCTGGATGATGAGTCGCTTGGGACGCGAAGGAGGGCAAGAGCAAGTTGATAATTACATGAGGGACGAACCACCACTCTGTGCTCTACGTTGTTGTTGAGGAGTAGAATAACAACAATCACAGTTGCGGTGTGCAGCACAGAAAGCTGATGCGAACGCCCACCCGTGTCCCGCAGCAGACTCTATCGGATTTCCCAGGCTTCGGGGCCATTCAACCAAATGCCGTGGTTCGTTGGTTTCTTCCGTGCCTTCCGCATCGCTCTCGTTGACATCTCCCCCAACCACGCGGCCCCGCGCTGTCGCTGCTCTGTTCTTCTGCTCTGTCTCGAAACTATGTCCTTCCGCCTAAGGCGGCCGGGGTGTACTCGCTGTCCGGGAGGGATCTTCCGTTCACGGTGCTCGGCGGAGTCCCGGTACGTCGTCGTCTTCGCTGTCGTCGTTGTTGTCGTACATGTGTATGGTGGTGGTGGTGTTGGTGTGTGTGGCGGCCGCGGCGGTGTGTTGAGACTATTGACTTGGTGCTGTTGCGGCTTGATCCGTTGCTGCTGGCGGCGGCGGTGGTGTTTGGGGTGGAAGAATTCGGCAACACCCTAATCCCCTTACCCCGCCACAACCCGCCAGCGTTTGAAATATGCCGAGTATGCAATGATAGAGGTTCTGATACGAGTGTCCTCATCTCTACATTCCCGGTATGAAAAGGGGGGTGCGGCCACCGCCTCTGACATCCGCCCACTCGCCTTAAGCCAACGTCACGCCCATCCCGCTATCCATCACTACCCCACCCCTGCCCACGTGCAGTCACCACCGTCTCAGACATTCTATGTGTGTGTTTACCATCAAACCCCTCACCCCTCTCTTACACCAAGGTCAAGGGCTGTCTGCGCGAATTTTTCAGTTTATCTATGGAATAGAGAGGTAGGGGTCACGTCGACCCTAACCCTAACCGAAATTCCACCGATTCCACGCTCTCCCCCATATATGTTTGCTTAACGTAAAACCTGCGTGGGCTACTGAACGCTAAACCCTCGCATCCTCCTCCCCCTCGTCGCCGACCACAGGGGTACATAAACCTGCTGGACGCGACAAACGCGTGGCAGCTGGTGAAGGAGCTCAAGGCGGCGACGGGACTGCCTGCCGCGGCGTCGTTCAAGCACGTCAGCCCCGCCGGCGCGGCGGTGGCCGTGCCGCTCAGCGAAGAGGAGATAGCCGCTTACGAGGTGCGTGTATGTGTGTGTTCAGTTTTGGGTGTTGACTTTGGGTACGTATCAGCGTGATAGACCGATGACAGCCTAACCAAGGAAAAGCCGTCAGTCTCAGTGCGATGACATGTTTCTCGTGGCCATGATCTGGGACACCCCGTAGGGGCGTGTGTGTGTGTGTGTGTGTGTGTGTGTGTGTTTCTTTTGTTCGCACCGACTGCGATCTGAAAACCGCTCCATGAATGAGAAAGAACGCCAGTTTTTAGCGGGACAAAACAGAGACGATGAACCACGTTTCGTCAGGGAGGGTTACCCGTACACGTGTGAGTCAAATGTGCATTTTTCTCTCATTGGATCGAACGCGCGTGCAGAACTGCGTGACCAATGAGAAGAGGTCCGTGTTACGGCGGGACAATGTTCGTAAGCACGCCTTGTAGTCGTTGGGTTCCAGCGACAGGGGGGGTTGGGCGGGTCCAGTGTTCGGATTTCATGTACTTGCACAAGGAGAAGACATGACACCACTACTCCATCCTGTTGTGGTGTCTACTTCTGTTCTATAAGTACCATTAATACGGCAACGGGGTTGTGCTCTCTGCCAAAGTTCGATTCGCTCCCTTTGGCTCGTCACTAGCTCGAAGCACGCAAGTTTCTGCGATTCTATTCGTCTAAACCCCTAGACTATGCTCTACCGTGACTCTTGTTACCAACTGTGCATTTCGGTTATGTTTTGTCGTTGTTGAGGGACGTGGTGTGATCGCAGATCTGATGGTGTATTCTTGGTTTGTTTGCGTTTTCTTGGGCAGCAACTTGCGCTCGAATGGCAAAGGCGGTTTCTTCCGATCATAAGAAGTAGTTGCCGATTTTTCAGGTTACGACGATAGACGCTCCAAAATTGGTTCTCCTTTTCTTTTTCTTGCGGTATAGAATACGAAGTACTTGCCGCATCTCTTCAACGACGGTCTACCTTTGTTTCCAACACCCACCGACAACAAAATACGATGCATAGGTGGGCTCCGTCGAAATGACCCCGACTGCGATCGCCTACATCCGAGCGCGCAACGCCGACCCCATGTCGTCCTTCGGAGACTTCGCCGCGGTGTCGGACGTGGTGGACGAGGCCACCGCTAAGGTCCTCAAGAGGGAGGTAAGAGTCTTGTTGTTGTTGTTGTCGTCGTCGTTGTTGCTTTTGTATCACGCGTGTAGAGAGATTTGCAGGCCCTCGCCACCTTGAGAAGAGCCCCCCATTTTTTCTTTTAATGTCCATTTTCGTCCACGAAACCGGCGGTCATTGTCTGTTTGGCAGACAATACCCGCGTGTGCGGTAGGGTTATGGGAAGGGTATGTGTGGTGGAGGGGGCGGGGTTGGTGAGTGGTTATTCTGGAGGCGTGTCGGGTGAAACGGGTGAGGGTACGTGCCGTTACGGACGTCGTAGACGATGCTACCGCTGAGGTCCCCAACGGGTAGATGGCGATAGGGGTACGGTAAGGGAGACTGGGGATTCAATTGGATTTGGTTCTTTGCTGAGGGTGCAGGTGCAGTCCGTGTTGCCTACTCAAACAGTGGACGGCAAGGCCTTCGACAAATTTCTTTGCTGAAAAGGAACGTCAGGCTTTCTTGTCCCTGCTTTTCGATTCAATAACTATGCTTGTCTCGTGTACGTCATACCCCCCTCCCCTCACGAAACTTGCCCGCTTCCCTCTTTGGCCACGCAACTTTTGACTAACATCCACACTCGTCACATTCATGTGCAGGTTGCCGACGGCATCATCGCCCCCGGGTACGAGCCTGCTGCCTTGGAGATCCTCAAAAAGAAGAAGGGAGGCAAGTTCATCGTCCTCGAGGCCAAGCCAGACTACGAGGCTCCGGCGGGGGAGTTCCGCGAGGTGTACGGCGTCGGCTTCTACCAGGACAGGAACTCGGTTGCGTTCGGAAAAGATAATCTCAAGGTCAGCACACGTTCATTCACTCTCGGGTCTTGTTGTTTGGGATATCATCTGTTACCCTCGCCGCAAAACGCCGACGAAAGCCGACGAAAGCCGACGAAAGCCGACGAAAGCCGACGAAAAAAACAGCACAACAACCAGCACGTAAATCTCTCAACCAACTTGCTAGTGGGTATTCTCCATTTTTTTCGGCTCAGCTTTTCCCGCCAAATCAACACGCAGGGACACCACTCACCGCTTAAGAGCCCCCCCCCCCCCCCCCCCCCCCCCCCCCCCCCCCCCCCCCCCCCCCCC